CGCCACGAATATTTCTTTTAAGGAGAGCTATAGAATTACTCCATACCTTTGTTAGGCAAAGCGTTCATCCCGTGACCGCGACTACGTTCGGCGACTGACTGTCGCCTCGAGCCCAAGCTCATTATCACGACTCTCGAACAATTACAATCGGGTTGAATAACTACAATTGTTCAATTACAGCTATAGTGGATTCTAGGTTACAAGGTTGCGGGATTATCCAAAATTCCAATGGCTCTGGTGTTCTTTCATCTCCGACATATTTATGGATATTTATTTGAGTTTTAAAATACATTATACAAAGATAAAAATCATACATCTTCTCAAAATCATATATAAAAGATACAAATAAGTAGAATGAATAAATATATTTATAAATTATATTTGATATTTATATGAAATTAAAATAAATAATAAGATATAGTAATTTAGAAGTACTTTTACATTATATGAATATCTAATAACTTGTAAATGTTTCAGTTAAGTCACAGTTAAATTCATTTTTTTAATACTCCATGTTTCATTATGTGTTTTCTTTTACGTTTTTATCATGTGTTTTAGATTTAACTCAATGAGATTTTAATTGCAACTCTGTATCAATTTCAGTTATCATACTTTCATCTCGCAAACATTTTCTTAGTTCGTGACCAATAGCTACTCCAAGTGGTGGAGGAACCGCATTTCCAATTTGTCGATGTTTATCAAGTATAGTGCCATAAAATCGAAAAGAATCAGGAAATCCTTGAGATCTAGCACATTCACGTACACTTACTACTCGAGTTTGTACTGGATGTAACACACGACCCTTAAAGATTAAATCGATTATTTACATTAACTGTATATGATTTTAATTAAAATTATGATTCATATTATACCAAGTATAAGTTAATTATATGAATTATATAAAAAGATATGATGCATAAAATTAAATATTGAAACATTTTAACCCATTTGCATCTAAGCGTGGATTAATCAACGCGCTGCGACTGTCTTCTATCACCAAGCGCGGAATAATCCACGAGACTGCGACTGCTTTTTATTCCAGTCGCTAAGTATTCTTAAGATGTGGGAGATCACGTTTTACCCGTTTGTGAGCAGCTCGCCTATATCAGTTCATTATTTTCTAAATAAGTTTTACTTTTGTTGTGAAAATCTTTTTAACTGCCACTATGAATAAGTACTGTCAATCTTAATCAAATTTAACAAATTCAAATTTAAAAAATATAATAATTTTATAATGTAAACTAAAATTTAGTTGCCCCAATGGATTTTGACGATCTTGATGATTTGGATCAAAGTATAGAAATAGGACATACTCGAAAACGTATCTGTAGGATCTCATCAAGTGAAAACAGCGAAGTTGATCAGTGCGATAGTTTTAGAAATGATAATTACATGTGGAAAGCTGAAAATCATACGCCAATTATACATGATTTTTCAAGTGTGGGTGGTGCAACTGTTAGTACGCAAAACCTGTCAAGAAGGGAAGTTTTTGAATTATTTTTTAACGAAGAATTAGTTACAAAGCTAGTTACAGAAACAAATAAACATGGAGAAACCGATGCAAATTTTATGCCTCTTTCAGAAGATGAACTAAAAGTATTTATTGCTTTAAACATTTTAATGAATTTAGTTTCTAAACCAAATATTCAGAGTTATTGGACTGTAGATCAAAGCATAGAAACACCATATTTTAAGAATATTATGGGCTGTAAGCGATTTGTTTCTATCGCTAAAAATCTACATTTTTCCAGTAATAATAATTCTAATGATGCACTCACAAAAATCCGAGAAGTTATTCAAATAATAAAAAAGACTTTCATTAGTATGTATGTACCACGTAAAAACATTTCGATTGATGAGTCATTAATGCAATGTAGAAGCTGTTTACATTATATTCAATTTATTCGAACAAAACAAGTAAGATTTGGTGTTAAGTTTTATAAACTGTGTGATTTGAAATCGAGATACATACACAATTTCAATATATATACAGAAAAAGATAAAAGTGATACCGGATCTGCTAGCAGAAATGTTGTGATGAATTTGTTGGAAGAGAGTGAGTTATTGCACAAAGGATATTGTTTATTTATTGATAATTGGTACAGTTCACCGAAATTGTATTGAAAATTACATGACACGAAAACAAACGTATGTGGAACTGCGAGAATTAATAGGAAACAAATGCCTTGAGAACTAAAAGTACACCAATTACAAAGGGGAGAAGCTGTAGTATATTCTACAAGAGATATAGCGGCGATAAAATGGAAAGATAAAAAAGATGTCATTTTACTAACAACTATGCATAGTTTAGAATTTGCTGAAACGGAGAAAACAGACCGATATACTGGACAAAAATGTGTAAAACCAACAGTCGTAATTGATTATTATCAGAATATGGGTGGAGTTGATGTTGACGATCAAATATTAAGTACATTTCATACTATGCGAAGATGTAAAGAAGTCTATAAGAAAATATTTTTTTACCTCATAGACATGATGTTACTAAACAGTTATGTAATTTTTAAAAATCATAAAAAGGATCGAGCTTTTCATATTGTTAAACAACAATTAGCCGAAGAAATTATTGGCGAATATTTACCAAATATAAAAGTGAGGCATCTACCGATTCGATAATGCGATATACTGGCAGGCATTTTCCTATTCGGATACCTCCAATTCGAGCAAAGGGAAGCAGAACGTCAAAGCGATGTGTTGTATGCTTATCTAAACATACTCGAAGAGAAACGGTCTTCAAATGCCATATTTGCGATGTACCATTATGTATTGACCATTTTAAAGAATTCCATGAGAAATAATATGATTTAATTTCCATTTTAATCTAAATAATTTTTTTTTTAAATAAATAATTTTTATTTTTTTCCTTTGTTGTAAAGAATGTAAGATGCTGTGTTTGCGAGGTAACATTATCTACCAATCGTTTTGAACAGTAAATTTTCGATGAACTCCATGAAGAATTCGGATGTTATTTACTGCACCTACGACCGATCGCGCGCGGTGATGGGGACCAGTCGTCAGTTGAACGCCGCTGATACCTTCAAATGGCACCTTAAGTAGGGCCATGATGCAAATGGGTTAAAAGCATAGCTTTTTGTATTAACAAAATAATTTTAGTAACTGAGTAAGGAGCTTTATGTATGCATCTTTACCCCAAGCAAAATTAGGAAAAGACTGTAAAAGAACACTTTTTTCAAATGTGCAGATGATCTTATATAAAAAATTGCTCCACAGGATGATAGACCTCGTTAAATAGTATAAAATTTTCCTCTGTGACTTTTCTAACTTTATTTGGAATGAAAATATAATCCAGCTCGCCTGGCCTTAGAAATACTGTATATTTTTAATAATAATAATTAAATATATATAAATATAAAGTATACATATATGTTAAATGTTTTTAATTATTTGATAATTAAATTTAAGATAATAGTTTTGCATACCTGTTTTCCCATAGGTTCAGGATTTGTAATAGTCGTACTAAAAAATCCATTCCATTCTAATCTACCATATAAACCTGCCCAATGATTATGACGATTTCCTGTGTGTGGTAAGCACCATGGAATTAAAGTATTAAATTGTTTATCTGTAGGATCACACTGCTTTCCCATACAACAACTACATACTCCACGATATGCTCCTGTAGAACTCTTTCCAACCTTTTTATCATCATGAGTATATTCTCTTAAATAAAAAATTTAATGTATACAATATTTTTAAACATAAGATAAAGTTTGATAAACTATACTTTACTTACAATTTTTTGGAATAAGTACCATCACTTAATCTTACAGTAATATTTGGTAAATCACGCCAATCAGAACCACTAGCGACTGGAATATGAGCTATTCTAGTTTCTACAAGAGGTGCCATTTCTTTACATATATGATCTCTTAATAATGGTTGATATTGTTTTCCTCTAATCTGGAAAGGTATAAATTTAAAATGTACTATGAATTTGTTGTCTGCAAAGAGTAACTGTTTTATTCTCTTAAAATATTTTTATTTGATTATTACTCTTCTTTGAAAATGTGATATTGCATCGTTTGTATATGACATCTCTTCTTTATTCCAACCATTTTTAATTTCTGGTAAATCAAACAGTGCATCCCTTACACTGATTGTTCTAAATGGTGCTGATTCTGTCCAACTGCAATTTGTGCTATACTGAAATGTTATTTAGTATTTATAGTAATATAGCTTAAATTGTAAATATCACTTATCTATTGTCTAATAGTACTAAATATTGTTTACCTTTTTATTATCAACTAATACACTTAATTGACAAGCGCGTTTACTAAAAACATGTGTTGGTTCTGGATATTGTGGAAGTATTTGTCCAGGTGCAGCAGCTAGGATTATTATTCTATGTAATATAATAAAATAAAATTCAAAAAATTAGCAACTTTAAACTATTATGAGTTATACTTAAAATTGCAACAACCTTCGTCTTGTCTGAGGGACTCCATAATTTCCAGCTTGAAGGATACCAAAAGTACATTGGTAACCCATACGAACTAGACATCTTAATGTTAATTTTAGAACCATGCTTCTTTTAAAAGATACAAAATTTCGAACATTTTCCATAATAAAAAAATTGGGCCTGTAGTAATCACAATATGATAGATACGAAACAACCAGAGAGTTTTTGAACAAAGAATACTGGCGTGAATTAAAACGATTCATGCCGCTAAAACCTTGACATGGTGGACCACCACACAATAATTCTACTTGTCCTTTTTGAGGAAGTTTTTGACCAATCTCATTTGTTGTTTCGCCCTAAAAATGAAATGTTTAAAAATTATAATTATTATATTACATTATATGTACAGTAAACAAAGATATAATATGACAATTATAAATCATAATATATAATTAATGCACAAATTACAACTTGTATAATTGTACAATACTACTTACATCCATAACCTTTTTTAATAATATATTACAATCATCTGTAAATACTGTTGTATTAGGGTTGTTTAATCGGTATGCATTAGCAGCTGCTTCTTCTTTTTCTATAGCCCAAAGATTTTCAGCTATTCCAGCTTGATGTAAACCTTCAGATAACCCTTTAAAATAAATTAGTTCAAATTATTCATTTTTTCAATTTACTATGTTAAAATTATATAATAACAATTAATATATAATAAATTGTAGAATTTTGCAAGAATTTTGCAGTAAACTACATACCACCACACCCAGCAAATACATCCAATGTTTTCAATTTTTTTGATATTTTATTATATTCAATAGGTCTACTAACAAATGCTCTTTTTTCACTCTCTTCTGTTTTCTTCCCTTTAAACTTTAGGTTACCTTTACTTTTACCACTTTTACCAATGCTAATAGCGTGATATGGTGGTTCATTAAATGTTTTCTCTTGTGCATTATAAGCTTCATTAAAATAAAATCGATTCGGTCCTTCAGCAGTCCATTCATCAACAGTTTGATTTAAATTTTCAGAGTAAGCAAGATAGCATTTTCCAACAACCTCGATAAATTTGATGTTACAAACTGAAAAATCATTTATTTTACAAAATATTATGTATATATACATACAAAAATTTATATCTATGTGATTTTTATAAGAATATAAAATTTTTGTAATGTACCTTCATCACTCCAATAAACCATATTTAAATCTGCTTGTTCCATTAATGTAACATTTTTGTGTGTATTTTCTGGTCTATATAGCTTATTCACCTTAATCTTAATGTCAGATGGTGCAACTAACATATCATTTGTACTAACATATATTTCATTTATATACCCTATACAAAAAGGATCAGGGGTATCAAAATTTGAACCTTTCACATGATCAGAAGATTTTCTATAAAATTCGGGGTACATATCTTCATCGACATTCTCCTGTTTTAGTTTTTGAATGTCTTGATGTATAATTTTATATTTGAAATTAAAAGCTTTAGGTTGTAAAAATACTGTTGTTCCAACTCTATAGTCTTCTCCTTTATATTTTACTAAACCATAAATAACTTCCTTAGTACTCTTCTCTTCTATTCGTTCATATACCTTAAAATATAAAAAGTATGAATATTATAAATGTTATTGAAAATAAAGTTTATGTTAAACAAATTGTAAATTTACCTTTTATCATCTTGTATAACATAATGTAACAACAAAAAAAAATAATCAGATATATCGTATTATACTTATTTCATTATAAATTTCTAATATCATATGAGAATATCATATGCACTTAGGACCAAAGGAATGCAGATGATATTTTTGAAGCTTTTGAATTAAGAATGAAAATGACTAGTTAAATCGTTAAATATAATGTTGTAAATAATTTAAATCAACTAATTGAATAAAAGTATCATTTAAGGTCAGAAAAATTTACTGCTAAGCAAATAATATTGAAATAAGTTTTCATAATTCAAATATTTAATAATTCATAAACTAAAAGATGAAATTCAGTAGAAATTTGTGTATATGTTCCTTACTATATATATGTTAAGCATTAAATATAATTTAGTTTTCATAGAGATATTACATGGTATTTTTTTAATACATTTGAATTTCAAACTTGATTTCCTCAATATTAGAAAAATGTTACTTCCATCCCTTTGATTTCAAGTGCCTCATATATAAATTGTCTCAATATTTAAATAATTCTAATTTTGTGAAAAAATGTGTTTTTCTCAATACCCTATATTGCTCTTTTCATACTGACATAAACTAAATGCAATTGACATAAACTAAACTAAACGTGAATTTGTCTTTAATTTGTTTATATTGATTAGCTTATTTGCTGAAAAATAACACTCACAAAATGATACTTTCATACAGTTTACTTTTTTCATGTTTAAATTATAATTTGACTAGTTTATATAATGGTATTATCTTACTATATTTTTGATCTAAGCAAGAAGTGTCTATATCTTGAAAAGAAAGAGTTTCCGAACGTATGACCTTTTTTTTCATCCTTAGAAACAATAGAATACGGTACCAAAGTTTGATCACCTATTTCCTTGTCATCCTGTATAACACAAGTAAAATGAACAGTATTAATTTTACGTACCTTTGGCATATTGAATTGTTCCACTTCCCGTAAATGCGCACAAGCAGGACAAAATCGATGTCTATTTTCTTTAGGAAGACATTTTGGATCTGGTAATGGGTCTTCAAATCTGGCTGTTGCAGGTGTATAACGTTTCTGATAGAAGAATGTTTTACCATCTAAGTCTTTTATTTCATTTTCAGAATTTAAATCCATATTACCTATGATTATAGAGTCAAAAACATTTTTTGTTTTGATATTTGTATTAAAAACTTGATCAATGAATGTTAAATATACTACCTAATTCGGCCCAATTTTTCGGTACATTTTTAAAAATAACAGTACATTTAGATCTAACAGATTTAAATGGTACATCATCACAATCATCACTCAAAAACAATTCTATAGGATCTGATGTTTCCCCAAGAATAGTATCATTTCCTCTATGCAACCAATTTGCATGAAATTGTTTTATACCATTTTTATTTTCCCACATGTAAATAACTTTGGCAACATGTGATGGAATTGCTGGATTTCTTGGTTCAACAAGTACATAATCATTTATTTCTATTTTTTCATCACCTACTATAACGGATTTGTAAAAGGTTTTCAGATTATTACTGGCTATTTGATCTCCTATCCATACAATATCTTTTTTAAGTTCTTTAAAAACTTTTCTTCTGCATTCTTCTACTTCAATTCTTAAAGTATCATATTGATCTTCATTTTCTGGATCAGAGTCATCTGCTTCCTGAATAAAGATACAAAATGTTTATTATATTAAATTGTGATTACCATAATTACTTAAATAGTTGTTTTACTTGAATAGCCATATTGGGACATCTTCTTTTAATGCAAGCCTGTTTGCCTCTTCCTGTTCCCCCAAATTTTATCATATCTTTACAAGCATTACAAAGACCACAATCAGGTTGTTGACAATGTTCACATACTCCACATCTTTGTCGTTTAGGTCCCTAATGGTATAAAAAAAGAAACAAACCTGAAGTTTATATAAAGTTTATTTGTATTTATCATTTAAAACGTATATGTACTTTATAAAGAGACTTTATATATACAATTATAGATAATTAATAATTATCTGTTATATTAATATACATATTAATTTAGAAAATTGAAAGTTTACCATTGTTATCGTATCATTATGTTTAGTTAACTGATCTGCAAATATATTTTCAAACATATTGTTAACTAATTGTGTAGTAGTTGCTTTAGTCCAAGCAGGTTTCCTAACTTTTTGTTCTCTAAGTCGCATTTGACGAAGGCTTACTCTTTTTCCTAATGTAACACCTGCAAGGTTTGCTAATGCTCGCATGCAAGGACTTGTAATAAGAAGAGTATCTTCTGCTGAAGCAGAATCATCAAATGATAATACTTGATCACATATAAATTGTGCATGTCTTAGTAGAGAATCTTCAGTAAATTTTGTAATACCTTTAGGTGGTACTATTGTCTGTGAAAATGATATAAGTTTAGTATTCTATTATATTAATTATACTATTTATGACTTGTTTAATAATAAATTTAAATTACTTGAAGCTTATTGAGCAGATCCTCATAACTGGGATTAATTTCATCTAAAAGAAACTCGATAATCAATTTACTCATGTATATTTTTTCTCTGACAACATCCATAAAAGGGGTATATTCTTCAGATGGATCCATTAGAATATATTCACAAAATGCTGTGTTAAAACCTATAAGAGCTAGTTCTCCTCCATCGAAACCAGATACATACCACTCATTTATAGGACCCATATCTTTTGCTGGCACTCCATTCTCTGGTGATGCATCTTCTTCATAAATAGCTTTTATATATCCAGAAAAGTATAACATTACATTCTTTTCTATAAGTCCAGTATCAAAAGCACACAAGTGGCCATTTTTATCATAAACACTAAAATTTTGATAGTTTTATCATTTTTTTATAAAATATACATGTTTATAAAAAACAGAAAAATATTACCTGAAATAAGTCAATTTATTTTGAGGGCGTTGATCGCTTTCATGTATAAAAGATTCACTACCATTAAATAAACATAACTTTGGATCAGTTAAAGCAATATCTTCATCTACAGCACCATTTGGATGACCCTGATAAATTTTGATATCATCATTTAATTTCTGACGACAATATTCACATTTACTATGAAATGTATTTGTACTTTTAATTTTAGATGTTGGTAAAATTGTAGTATCTTTAAACTTGACTTTTTTTTCAACATGTTTATCAGAATAGTCCTCATTTGTTCCTGGATAATGGTTTTCTTTATCTTGCTCACTTTTCAAAGATATGTTATTTTCTGTTTTAATGTTTTGTGAATTCTGTAATTCTCTATCGTTATTTGCATCATAACTTATTTGTTTTCCCATAGCAAGTTGTTTATAAAACATGTCAACTATAGATGGTTGATAATTAGATTTGGATGCAACAGACTTCATTGTAACACAATATAAAAAATTTGGTGACCTAGAAATATTTTCACTATTTAATTTCCTGCCTTATGATAATATTATTAATATTAAGTGTTTTAAATTGACAGTCTTAAGTTATTCATAAATATTCTTTCTCTATATAACGAAATATATAAAATCACATAATTTGATGTTAAAAATGTTGTAATGATTACTTTCTTCTATATTATTTGTGTATCAAGCTTCAAAGTTCATTTTAAATTTTTTGAACAGAATATTTTCTACTTTTCTGTTGAAATAAAAAAAAAATCACATATTTAATAAAAAAGGATTAACTAGATATTTATGCTATAAATAACAATGAAATACTTGGTTTTTAAAGTTATTGCAATGATTCAGTCATATTATATGTAAATAGTAAATTCTTAAAATTGAATAAATGGATACCTAATTACATCGTAAGAAAAAGAACATAGAGAAATAGATTCAAGATTAAATCAGTTAATAGATAAGCCAGATTTAAAGAAAAGGCAAAGAGAAATTCAATGAAGCCATTGTTGAAGAAGTGCATAGAGGAAAAGATTAAAAATTAGATAAGAACTAAATACGAAAAGGAAAGAATAAGATGTATCAATAAATGTAAATATAGCCAGGTAGGTATAGAAGAACTGAGAAAATGAGGGAAACAGATAAATGAAAAATTAAAGGAAAGAGAGAGTGAAATAGAAATTTACAATAAATAATAAACTACGTTTACATATAAAAATGTTCCATAATATTATATCTAATAAAAGAAATGTACATGAAAGTAATGTTGACTGTAACCAAGTTAGCTAATAGAAAATCGTTTTTATAATAAATATCGACCTTCCTATGCATAATGCGTAATCATACCAAATAGCTATACAAAAGTATACAAAAGTATACAATTTAAATATCATTTATGACAATATTATCATGGTGTATATATCAACAATTTTTTTAAATATCAGTAAATATTGTTTTAATTTCTATAAAAAAATATAATATTCTATCTAACAACTCACAGTGACCTTCAAAATTTGGTACATAGATGATATAGAAAGAAATCATTATTACATATTTTTTATCATGTATGTTTCTTTCAATTCTACGTATTCCTTTGTACAGTGAATATATTTGAAAAGAATTAATAAAACAAATCTGAAGTTGAAGTATATATGTATACGTATAATACTTACATAATATTATTACTTGGCATTAGATAATTACTTATGTATTTTTATAAAAAATAAAATATGTAATATATATATTTATTTTTAATTGCAATAAATTACATTTATATATGCACAAATTTATAAATATTTTATAAAAAAAGAATATATGAATACGTACTACTGAATACCTGAATTAATACACACCAGAAATTTACGTGAATAAACTTCTCTGTTACTAAAGCCTTTACAGTACATTAATAAATATACAAATACATTTTAATATATAAATTAGTCAATCTCAATTTAAAGTAAAATTAACAATCTGTATTATATAAAATATACTTATATCTATATATATAATTAATTGTATATTTACATATATAATATTAATCTATTCAACGTAATAAATACAATTCTTGTATTCGTTATACCTTTCAAAATTGTTAACGGTTTTCGTCCATTTATTTTCCCGCCTTCAAGAGCTATTGTTAAAATATGTTTTTCTTAGTCAACTACAAGATATTTTAATTTATAAATAACTCCCAGATTTATTTAAATTAAAAGTGAGTGTACTAATGAATAGTTTTATTATTTATGTTTCTGAAAATACTGAAATTTATATGTACAACAGCTGACATATGAAAATTTATAGGTTAAATAGTTTTTGTTAGTGCCTAGTACTTACATGTATTCAGTTGTTTCTTATTCTACGCGCGAAGAACGATTTGTTTATGTTTTATTGTGAGCTATTAAAAAACATATTGTCACGGTGTATAATTGCAAATATCTAGTTAAACAAGTACGTATTAAATTAATTAAAATATTTAAATTATTAATATTAAAAAATATATGATAATTTTGAAATATTATTAATATTAAATATTTACTGAAATAATAAGATAATTTTTGTATTTTGCTTAACAGTCATCTGTTTAACATGAAACTTCATTGTAACATAAAAGTAAACAATAGATTATTTACAACAAATGTAATAAGAAGAAAGTCATTACGTTCCATAATAGCAATTGGGAGACAAACAGTAAAAAATATGGACATATATCTGCTTTGGCAAACATTACAAAATAAGCATGGTACTAAATACAAGGTAAAATGTCTATATCAATACATTTCATAAATTATAATAATTTATCTGAATATGTGTAAATTATTTAAGAAAAAATATATATATTTTTTAGGAAAAAATTGAAAAATTTTATATTTCATTTTCTTTCAGATTAATAATAATGTAGACAAAATATATACAAAATTTATTAATGAAGGAAAAGCCACAATTAGCTTTATAGAACCACCTCATGATTTAATTATTCAATCTGATAAAATTCAACTCAAAAGTTTTATTCACATTTTAAAACTTGCAATAATTAAAAAGGTTGATCCATCAGTTCTTGATATTTCAAATTTGAACCCAAAATGTATGAGTTCTGCACCAAAGATTAAAGTAGTGATTAATAAATCTTCTGAATATCCAACTTTAGAAGGTTTTCCAAGAACAACTGAAGAATTATATTTAGTAGGATTAAATAGAAAATCATTTGATAGGCAAATTTTAAGACTCCAAAGCTTAAGAATTTTAAATTTGTCTAACAATCAAATTTCATCTTTACCAAATGAACTTGGCACATTACAGCATTTACAAGAACTTATTTTATCACAAAACCGGCTTGATAAGGCTTTCAAATGGGTATGGTTAAATCAAGTTGCTATAAGATCTAACTTAAAATTATTGGATATAAGTAATAATTTGGTATGTCCATTTCATATCTTATAAAAATATTTATTATAAGTTTTACTTATATTTCATTATTTAATATATTTTTTAATTCAGTTATACAAATTACCACAACAAATTGGAAAACTTGAGAGTCTTGTTAATTTGAAGGCTAGTCAGAATATGTTATCATTCTTACCACAGAGTCTTGGAAATTTACATAATTTAAAATATTTAGATCTATCAAAAAACAAATTACGTTACTTACCTGGAAGTATAAGGAATTTACATTTGATTACAGTAGACGTATCAAACAATGACTTTTCTTCTGTACATTATGCATTATATTCTAAGTCTAAAATAAATGTGCCAAGTTTAACTGAATGTGCAGCTACGTCATTTCTGAAAACAAGGTTTGTATGATATGTAATTTAAATAGCTATTTTATTTTTGGTTTAATAATTAGTAACAAAAAATGAAGTGAACATGTATATCTATCTTAATTTATGTTTGAATTATGATGATGTAGATATATCAATAGCAGAAATGTTTTAAAAAACATATTTTTTTTATATAGATGTTCATATGATGCAAGCATAATTCCATTTACATTGGTAAAGTATTTAGATGAGGCAAAGTATTGTCTCTGTGGAAATCCATGTTTTCATTATTATCTAAGAAAATTTGTGAGTTTTGATTGCAATATAGCAACAAATATTATAAAGTCAACAGAATCTACTCTACTACCATTTGATTGCTACTTCTGTTCAAGTAAATGTGTATATTATGCAATGCTTTGTAAATAATTTATTATTTTTAAATTGAGGATTAAAAAGATATTTAAAAATATTATTTCAAAAATGTCTGCATCCCTAATTCTTATTTATATTTTTTTTTTGTACTTTTACAAATTATGAAGTCATTAATGTATATAAAAGTTATAGTAATAAGGATTTGTGTTACTTCCATTAAATTGTTTTATTTATTACAAAATATGATTGATTTTATTTCATAATCCTAAGTATATATAAATGAGACCTTTCAGAAGCTAAACTGATTAATTTTTACTTTTGTAAACTTGGTTTCATATTAAAATAACTCATTGCCAATTTTGAGAAATATTTATAACATTAAAACTTTTCTCTACTCTGTGGAAGATGCATCAATGTATAGAAACAATCAATGTGCCCCCTGAATGTAAATAACGTAATGGCTGTATGCAAAATAAAAAGAAATAAAAATGCATATATAAACATATATGCAAATTTGCATTAATAAAAAAGATTTTAGAAAATGCTAATGGTCTTGAAATTTCATAAAGATAACTTCGAAAAAAAGTTTGTTTTTCTACCATAAGAATCTTTTTTCGTAAAACTATAAATAAAACAGAGATATTTAGGAGTTCTTGTTCAAGTGTTGCACGCTGTATAATATATTGCACTTTATATATAGTATTATTAACACTTCTCTTTTAATCTATTTGCTTTTAATTTATAATGGTATATAAAATATATCTCTTAAAATTATTTGCATTGTAGAACATATAGAATGTTCATTTTCCACAAATTTATTTAAAAAAAAATTAAACATTATTAGAAGGAAAACTGTTTTTTTACAAATTTAGTTCAATCAGTCCTATCTCAAACACAAATAATTAATTTTTATACAATTATTCTACAATACTCTAATTTTTTTTACCTGTGATATTGCATTTTAGAATTATTAAAACTAGTAATATTATATAATATATATTATATTGTTATTATCATTGTTTATAGTCTATTTTGATATATTAAAACTATATCTTAATAATGTTTTAAATTTAAAAATATGTTTTTAAATTGCATAAGGAAATTTAAAGTATATAATTTATATTAGTACAAAAAATATTTATTACACTTTTAATCAGTAAAAAGATATTATACAAACAATATACAAATTATTTTTATTCTTTATAGCATTTTATAGCTATTATTAATCAATTCATTAAAAGATGAATCTTGTAAAGTCTATTTAGTTATTAGCATAATTATAATATATATTAACAGTAGAAGAAACTCCGTTTATATGGACTCTATTTGTATGAACTAAATTTCTTTAACTTTAATAATAGTTAACTGAGCTTAAAATTAACTGAACTTTAGCTGAACTCCTATTATTTTATTTTATTATTTAGTTACCACCGAGCGTCAATCCACTTATATGAACGTCTAACAATAAGATATAAACAGTAGGAGTACGCGTTATGTGACCCATTCTCATGTTTCACAGTCGATACAAATTTGTAACATTATTATGTATTATGTATGAACTCCAATTAACTGAACGAAAAATTGTAGGTGGTGGGAAGAAATATGTATGTAGGTGGATCTCTGTTATAGGGTGATTCAATAAGAAGAACTATCTAAAATAACTCGTTACCTATATTTATTATTACTTATCGAAAAACATTTTAAACGAATTATGTTTTAATTTAAAAGTATTCATCAGATTGATACAACACTGTTTTTTTGTATTCTGAGATTATTTTTTTTAATGGTATTTAAAAAACTATTTAAACAGCTTTTAAATGGCTTCGTATATTTTAATATACATAAACATAAGAAGACTGTTTCGATTCTGTTCTTGTCTCTCATACATTAAATTTGACAAATTGAAGTTATAATATCTACTAACGGTATTCAGCATAAATAGGTTAATATTTTTTTGTAGAGAATGTCCAGCAGGATCGATTAATGTTGTAGAAAATATACGCTATCATTTAAAAAATTCGAGATCATCTTGACATGTCAAAAAATATAAAATATTAAGAAAGAAATAAGTTCATTGAAGTGTAACATAATTCACTTAAGACGTTTCTCCATAAAACCAACAGAGAACAAGTTATTTTATATAGTACTCCTCATTAATTTACTCCGTATATGAACGACGGTTATATGAATCAACTTGTCCCTTGAAAGGTTCATACATATAAACCGAATTCTACATGTTTAAATATATTTTTAGAAGTAGAAAAAATATGAAGTCAATGCACCTATTGCGAAGATATATATAAAAACTATATCATTTAGAACAAAGATACGATTTTTTATCTACATCTCTTAACAAAAATCTTCATTTTAAGATATGAAAAAGTAAAATAATCCATTGTTTGAAAGCTGTATTATTATAATGATACTATCAAATTAAAAAAATTGCAATAAATATAACGTAACTTAATTTTTTTTAATATTCGGAACATAAAATTTATATATAATAAAAAATTAAACTATTTATTTTCGTTAAAAGATATTTTTTAAAAGTAACAGATATTAGTTTTTACTTATTTAAATTATTTTTTGTCCATTTTATGTGGCTTTACAAAATCAAATTCACTATCACTCATATTAATAAAAAATTGTCGTGCTGTAATTGCTTTTTTTTTACCTATGTGTGCTACAGAAAAATCAATATTTTTATATTTATTTTCATCTATACTACCATGAACTTGTAAAGATTGAACTAATACCTCTGGATCTTCTGGGAATGGAATTAATTTCATACAGTTTTCTTGACTTAAACTACTTGATGAAGGAACATTTTCATTCTATAAAAATACTGTAAATTATCGATTATATCTATGATAAAAATATAAATAACTAGAAATGATTCTGTATACAGACCTGAATGTTGTTTTGTCTTATATTTGTACAATCGTTTGGTATATGTAAATCGTTTATTGATATTGTACGACTTTTTAAAAGCCCTTTTATCACTGCATTTTTATTAAGACCACATTTTTTTAAAGTACTTTCTACATTTTCAATATTGTTTTTATCTTTAGCGCTAGTTTCTAACATGGAAATTCCATTACAAGTTTCCGTAGTTGAATTTTTATAATCACAAGTATCAGACTTTAAATTCTCCTTAAAAGTACAATCTTTGGATTTTAAACTAGCTTTCATTTGTCTAAGTTTCCAATGTTCCTCAAGTTTTTCATTTGAATAGTTAACACCACAATTAGCCTGCAAAACAAAATCTATTTGTATCTCCCATGTATATATCATAAGTTTTAAATTAATATGTATATTATATTTACTTCTATAATGGAGGATGCAATTTCATTTTCATGTATGCTACGCTCTTGAAGCACATCATGTGGGCCATCGTTACAATCGTAATCATACAACTGTAAAGAGTAACATTTTAAATAATTTAAGAATTAAACATAATTAAATGTAATTTATAAAATACATTAAAAATAAGATATTTTTCATTTTGTGTTCAGTTCGGTTTAATAATTGGTCAGTAGATTTTCTTAATGCAATAGAATTTTAATTGCTATTATTTTTAGCTATTTAATTACATTATTTTACCAATAAAAATGTGTTTAAAAATAGTGTTTAGTTTGGATATACTGGAACAATATAATTACTAACATTTGCATTCTCTGGAGGTTTGAACTTCTTCAATTTTGGATTTCGTTTAACTGTATTAGATTCTTTTCGACGTACAAATACGACATTTTCATCTGTCTGAGGTATTTGTGTTACTTTTTGAATATCAGCATATAAACTCATTGTAAAAGTAATCTGAAAGTTAAAAAATATGGTTGTTAATAGAAAGTGAATGTAAATAATTGCTTGTGGATCCTGTAAATTCCATAATACATAAATTGCTTTGTAATCTGCAATTATTATAATTATAATGTATACTAATTAGGAAATTCTTTATATCTTAGTCATATTTGTTACGTACGCTGCTATTAAAAATTTTATACATTTATTGTATATACATGTTAGTAACAAATGAAGTTGGTTATAATCCAAAGCAAATAAAAGGATATTTGTATTAAGTATATAAATAAAGTATAATTTGTAAATCACTAAGCAAGTAAGCTGCATGATTTAAAATACAAATAAAAATGGAAATGTGAAATTTAATTTTGTAACAAATTATGAACTTACTGTCTCCCTGTTCTGTACTACTTTTACATTACAAGAACTATTTGTTATTTAGGATTACTTTATTAGTCTTTTATTGTACTTATTATTATATTGATGAGTTAATAGTAGCTATTTTTTATAAATGGTGACATATTACTATTTAATGAAACATACATGAATGATACATTTAATGAAACATACAAACATACATGAATAAAATATATAAATTTAATTGTTTTGAAGAAATTACATCAATGACTATAAATGAGTGAAACGCAAGGTATTGGACCTAAAATCTTTATTATATTTCATTTAAAGTCAAAGATACAAATCTTTTCAATCTATGAAGGCTTGAAATTTGAATTAATATGCATAACATTCGAAGACACACACATTTATTTCTGATATATAGCAGTAACTATAAAATTAGATGGAATTAAAAGGGATTCTATAAATCATTTTAAAGACATAAATAATATAGGAATATTTAGTGATTTTAATAAAGAATTTAAAAAATCAAAATGTTTTCCCTTATATATATATTATTATTATTACATTTTATTTTCTTATCTTTTTTCTTATTATATATTACAATTTTCTTTTATACTCACAATTCGCGGTAGTTAAGCTCTAATATTCTGAAGCTCTTATACTCATTTTCTTATGAAATATTCTTAAACTTTATTATTTGTAATATAAAATTAACGTACTTACCCTATCGTATTTTCCTATCACGATTTGAATTAAATAATATCACTTTATCATAGGGTATGAGGTTAAAGCTTGATTGTGATGATAACAACATTGTTTATATACAATTCGTTATATTTTGTATTATGTTTACTAGGAAACATATTTTTGACTGGCTAAGAGATTACAAAACAGACCAATAAAATTGTTGCATGAACAGGAATTAATACATTTTAAAATCTTATTTTTATAACACATGTATATATATACGTATACGTTTATTAATAATAAAGTATACATATTTATTTATTGTTTAACATTAAGTTTCATGTAAATAATAAAAATTATGAATTATAAAACATCAATGTTTCAAAAACAATTTGTAAATCAATTATCTTGTTCATAGATTCGAGTATTAAACAATATAAAAATTATTTTGGTATTTAGGATATATTCACATTTGATCTTATTATCGTTGCGTGACCTTTCCAAAAGTAGGGGAATTTGGCGCGGTTGCAGCTCGTGGAGTGCTAAGCACTCTGCTCGCGTTACAACTTCAAACAATTCCAAAACTAATTCAAATAATAGATTGAGTACTTTAATAAGATTTGCGTTTTAATGAAATTTATTTGACGGTCCTAACAATTCAACGATTCTAATAATTCTCTAATTTTTGGGTCGTAAAGTGGCTCATTTATCCCCTTGGATATGCATGACAATCTACGATTAATTTGTTACCCAATAAGACAAATTCTTACTAACTAATGCTAAGAAGCATTACTTTGTTTGGAGTATACAATATTAGGAAGTGAATGATTTATGATTTGGCAATGTTCTTTCCCATGGTAACGAAAGTAAATACGAAATTTGAGAGTAATCACAGTTGTTACTGATTAATAATTTTAACATTTAATCAATAAATTTGTTAAATAACTTTTGTTCGTTACTTCGGTTATTCTAGTATACAGTTAAATTCGCGGTGCTAGAATTTACCCTATGATCATACAAAATATTCATGTTAGAGGGAGCCACAAGCCCTCACTAGTTCACAACAATATCGAACATATTATTTAAATACAAAATAATTGTTATGCATAAATTGAAATATTATCAAAAACAATATGATCAATTACTTTAGTATTTTTATTTTTTTATGTATTTATAAAATATGAAATGAAAGTATTAAAAATTAGCATATTAGAGTTAGTGCATTTTAATAAAAATAATGGGGTTAATATTTGCTTAGTATATCTTTCTCTTGATTTGAGTTATTTAGGTGTATGATATTTTATTATGATGTTTCATTAGTAGGATATATCTAAATTCGTGTTTCTTAAATAATTTAATCCCTCTACCACTTTAAACTCTGTAGTTGAATCATCAATGACGCTATTTAAAGCAGTGTTTGTCAGTGAGCTGTCAATCAGAGGCACTCACACTTTTAGTAGTCACATTTGCATAAATTATTTGTTTTGCGTGTGTGCTGTGATCAATCCCAATATATGTTATAAATATATAGTTAATTTGCAATATTTTATAAATGATATTTTTGTAAACTATTCACTAATCCAAGAATCAATACTACACGTGGACAATGCAGGTTAGAATTTAACAATGAATATAAATTAATTAAAATTCAAGTTAATTGTTTTTATAGTTAATAGCATACCTGTTGTAGAATTATTTCTTTTTTAACATATTTCTATGCATTTATATTTACAAATTAATAGACAATAAGTCTCAGATGCAAATCCATATTTATGTCAAAAGTTTTATTCTATATTTATAAGACTTTTGATAATTTAATACAGAAATCTGAATACATTTCATATGAATATTCTATTTTTATTTTTACTTTAAGTAAAATATTTAGATAGTTTAAAAATTGATTTATAATATGTAACATATACGTATATAACATGTAAAAGCAATTTTTAGATACAGTTATTTTTCAATTTTTAATTTTAAATTATATTATATATTTAATGGATTCCTACATTATTAATATAAGAATTTGAAATAAAGAATTAATATACAAAATTGTACTGAAGATAACGTATTGTTAACGGATAACTTGCATCTTAACGTGTATGCGTATACTGAATTATATATACGTATATACATGCTTATAAAAACTGACATATTAGCGGTAAATTGAAATCGTAAATTATTAATATAGATATAAGAACAGTAAAGAATTATTATTTAAGAACAAACATTTCTGTTTTATTACACATAATTATTTTTAATACACAGAATAAGTCAATAAGAAGTCATTTGGAATAACTTAATTAAGAAGTCATTTGAAATAACTTAGTATTTACTAATTTTATCGAGAAATGTTTGAAATGGAAATCGTACTTTATAGAGATGACAGATCTGTAAATAGATACATTTATTTTTTTTATATCTTCTTTTATATATATTTTTATAACTTCTGAGATATCAAGGTTACCTGGAATTTTTTAATAGCATCGCATATTTTTTTTAATACTGCCTTGTATACTGTTTTTTATACTTTTATACTAAAAAGACGAATTCAACGATCTCTAACAAGGTATCTTCTAGTTAATTTTGAAGTTTAAAATGAAATGAAGATTTATGGAGAAGAGTTGCTACGTGTGGGGTACTAATTTCGGTTACTCGAAGAAGAAGATATTATAATCATGTAGAAGACCACAAATTATTAGAATTTTTACAGTTTTTACGATCATACATGGTTAACAATTTCATCTATATATGTATGTATGTAAAACGGACGAAAGTAACAAAGACGATAATTTTTGTTATAATATTAAAAATCACAATTTCAATTTATTCCATTATTTGAAGTTTATATATGTATATTTGTAAAAATTTCCATGAAGTTGGATCAACATTTTATAATAAACATTGACAAAAACATGTTAATTTTTATCATATTTTTAAACAAGTATTTTTTTTAAATATTGTTTACGTAATTAGTTTTTGTTTAGTTAAAAACAAAATTTTTACTCACGAATCATTTTTCTAAATTTAATAGTTTCCGAAATATTCCGTGAAATATGTTTTTAACTTACAACTTTGGGAGCTGTTTTCACTGAAAACTGCATTATACATAGGTTTCATTAAAATCGGTGATTTATCTCGTATATGTACAGGGTACGTATAAGATAAGCGTAAAAACCATGATTTTATACCTATGGATCGGTGGAGATTTGTATAAAAAGTACATACAAAATTGACCTTGACTTTGAAATTTAAGGTCAAATTTTTGCATTGCATCGCATTCTTTTATGCTCATTATGAGGATAAAAAGTCTTAAAGGAGCCATGAGTCGCAATTCAAACGGTCCCTTGGAAAATAATGTTAAAGTTTCACTGGTTTTTGGATTCACCTTATTTACTATATGGTTACATTTTGCACTCTGATGCAGGGTAAATAACATCTATTGTTGCATGTTAGACATTTCAGATACACCATTAGACATCCCGTTTCTTCCTTTATTTCTTTCTTTCTTTTTGCATCTGCGTAATAGATGTGCCTGCACGTCAGCTTCTACATTCAACATATGTACATATATGGCCATCACTGTTGTTTAAATAGCTTCGGACTCATATTCCTATATTCCTACCAAGTTTCTCTCCAAGATTACACGTTGATTTTAGATGATGGAAAACACATTCAATTTGATATCTTAATTGTTCAACTCAATTGCAAACTCTATCCGACTGCGAAATGTAAATATATTATAAATAAAAAAAAATATATGTATAAAACACTTATATATATACAGGGTGGTTGGTAACTGGTGGTACAAGCGGAAAGGGAGTGATTCTACGCGAAAAAAGAAGTTGAAAATATAGAATAAAAATTTTTTTTTCAAATTTTTTTAAAAATCTGCAGTGATATCCGTTATAACGAGACGTGATAAAGTGCACGTGTACCGAGCGAAAATTCAAAGTCGATTTTCTCGAAAACAAAGCCTCAAACGAAAAATTTTTATTCTATATTTTCGACTTCTTTTTTCGCGTAGAATCACTCTCTTTCCGCTTGTACCACCAGTTACCAACCACCCTGTATATATACACACACACACATATATATTTAGTTATTAAGTTTATGTACGCACACGCGATTGATGAGATTTTAACATCATTTTCCAAGAGAACCATTAAGTTGCGATCTATGATTCCTTTAAGACCTTTTATCTTCATGATAAGGATAAAAGTATACGATGCAATAAAGACATTTCACCTTGAATTTCAAGGTCAAGGTCAATTTTGCTTGCATTTTTTTTATAAATCTTCATCGATCGGGAAGTGCAGTCTTACTGTGGCGGCTTTTACATTTACTTTTTATACACTCTGCACATATGAAATATTTCTTAGAGAATTACCGTATATGTCTTGTAAAAGCCAACATTTATGTACGTTTAAGGATTTTACTAGAAATCGTTTCTTCGTATTTAAACTGAATCATTTTATTGAATTCGGAAGTAGCAAAGTATGTATTCAGAAAGGAAATGTTGAGCGATATATGTACGTAAATACTCATAGAACTTCATTAGAAGTATATATGTAATACTTAGATCTATAAAAGGTTATCTTCCACGCTAACAATGGATATGGAAGACTTTTTCATGCAATTTGTATATTATTGCCATTTGTTACTGGATTAATATATAAATTAACGATATGCATTTTTAAGACACATCTACGTACATACGGAGGATTCAGAAACCTATCAGCGTAGGTCCATTAGCATTAAAACCGAGATAAATAAGGTTTTTACAAATTGTTGTAAAAAATGACAATTGTAGTAAAAATGCAAAAATAAATTTTTATAAAACAACATACAAATGAACTTGATCACAAGAAAAACAGAAGAAAATCGCCATGGTGTTTCAGAAGAAATTAGATTAAATGAAAAGATCGTGATTTATATCGAATGTGCATTGGAAAATTTGAATAAGTCAATGTATTATATAATTATATTATATAATATATTCGTCTGGATTATCACTTTCACTGTTATCTCCTGCACCAAGATTCATTTGATTTTCTTTTCAGGTTGATGTTCGTATTTTTTGTAATAAAATGTAATAGAGCAATGTATAAAATGAGCAAATGTAATAGAGAGATGTAATGTAATAGAGCAAACATGTACTTCTTTTTAACTTCTCTCACGGGTTTACGCTATGGATACAGTGGGTTCCGAACAACATTGAGTAAAGTCGAAGGTCTTCCTTTTGATACTGGCTTTATGTTGGTTTCATAAAATGGGAAATCATTCTACAGAGTTTCTTTATAACAAATTCTTATAAAGTTTTCGTTTCACTTACCATCGTCACAATCAGATAAATTTCGCTTATTATCAGATAAATATATATTCGGATGCAGTATCAGAGAAATGGTGACTTCCTGATAATAAAAAATGCGTACTTTTGTTTCTTTCTTTCATGATGTAAGTAAAACAGCGTACAATTATTTTTTAAACAACAAAGAACTAAACATAAAGTTGACGCGATTTTAGTGTGACTTACACTGATTGTCCTCTGTATAATTTTGTTTAGTAATTCTGTGGTCATTATAAGTATTAGAAACTATTTCATACGCATGAAAGTAATTACTTAATTGATTTATCAACTGTTCCAACAATAAAGAGGTTTTTGAACTGCGTAACACATTTTTAGAGAAAGTTGGATTTACGCTGATTCGCTTCTGAACCCTCCATACATGTATACACTGGATACTACGTCAGTATTGTGAATATCAAATGGTGAATAGATTTTGACTTTCACGGGGTTCACTTTTTCAAAAAGATATGGTTAATATAAAACGTTGACGATATAATTAATACGATGATACGAGTATATTTTCTATTTTTGCTAATTCTTTTGGTCCTGAAAGTTTTCTGTTGGTATTGAGGAATTAAGTCTAAGACGAGAACACTATGTTTTTTGACTATTAATGAATTGTACAATAATCATATTTTCAGTATTGGTAATATTATAAGTTTTATCTCCAATTATTGTAGATGTAATTACTGCGTAATAAACATTTAAAAGTAGTAAGAAGCAATGATTTATAAAAATAAGTTTACTTACTATATAAAATAAAAAAGGAATGTACGTATTATAAATATTACGTAAATTTATACTGTATAAAAATTATAGAGAGTAAGAATAAAAAATTATTGTTTTTAATTATATAGTGCAATGTATTGCTCCTTATAATTTAAAGATTTGATAGAAGAGTAAAATATGTATGTACATAGTTCCTAACATGATGTATTACTGATACAGCAGCGTAACAAGAATAATATACGAAAAACATTTATATTTATCAATATAAGAATATTTTATTTTATAATGATATTTCAGTTATATGACTGATCTAATACAGAGTTTCATTACTTTTCAGACAGTATGTTAAGTAATTTAATTAAAAGTCTGAATAAAATTATAACGTAGTTTACTTTTGGACCTCTTACCGTTCGTCTTGGTGGTATTATCGAAGCGTTTGTGTTAAACCGCACAGCACCACACGTGTTGAATCCTTTCATTGGTGTGTCTGTGGAGGGGACAAGAGGGTGTGTAGAACATTTAATTCGAGCTTGCGAGGGAAGTCGTTGATTGAAGACGAGGTACGCCAGTTGTGTTTCGACGCTGCTTCGAGTTGAACCAGTTACTGTTCCATATTTTCTGTAAAATGTGTCGTTAGTTTTAATACGAAGGCACTTACTTTTTTAAATAAATTTCTTATCGGATTATCGTTATTCGTCGATACATATAAAATAGCGAGTTGTTTAATGCTCAATTTAATTCTTCTCAAAGTAAAGAGTGCTATTGGATTGTAGTTTTTGATACTTCAAAGTTTCTTATGATTCCAGTGCTTACTTTCAATGTTAAAATATAGTCAATGATTGTAAAATAAGACGTTGAAAAGTGTCTTTAGTCTTTACAGATTGTCGTCGAAGCTTGGTTGTCTCAAAATTGAACAATGACGAAACAATCTGTTTTTTCTTCTTCTTCAATTTATGATGGCAGACTTTTACCTCATAATTTATGAAACCGTAATTTAAATAAAATATGTTAATATTAAAAGTGTTTAGTGCTAATCCTTAATTTAAATACTAACTGAGATACATTATTACCTTCAATAATTATTATTAAATTCGAAACCAGTCTAAATACTTTTCTTCTAAATTGAAAATATATTTTTTCGACTATCTTCCAAAAATATTATGTTACTATTATTTATATTTGTGCTTCATATAAAGGTATTTTTTTTTTAATAATTGTTCGAGGTGATTATTTTGATTATAAGAGATAACAGACAATAGAGAGGATAATAATTGAAGGAAATTAATGAAGTAAAATACATAAAAGATATGTTGTGAGTTTTATGAATAATTGTCAATAATTTACAAAGCATTCGAATGTTATATTTAATCGACAGTTTTTCTGTTTTATCGACTTCAATATTTCTTCATAAAACATTTGTCACGTGTTTATTATAAGCAATGTACGCTTACATTGATAACGCTATTGATAACATTTTTATCGTAAAATTTATCTATTTCTTCCTCAACTGATAGAATTATTATTGAGTATCTAGTCGATACTCAAAGTATAAAGATCAGAATCTGTATGGATGTTCGAATATTTTCGTGTCCCACTAAAGGTGTTTCGTAGAAGTAGAATGTCATCTTAATAATAAAGGTTCGTATATAACAATATAAGTTTCTCAATACTTTATGCATCTAATATAATATTAAAAAAGTTAATTTTACAAAATATTCAATTTGTAAACCATATTTTCTCTTGTATTTGTTCTTTTTTTTAATCTTAAATTTAGTTTTAAAAGCTAACTCTGTATCTATTTACCACCATGAGTTTATACATAAAAGAATGCAATTATTTTATATTTTGTCATAGTTTACATAAATATATCAGAATATATATAATTATCGTTTTCAAATATTGCTATACATATATTGTTACTTTATTATATAAATATATTATTCATATATATGTACGTACATAGTTGCGCACTTAAATATGTTAAATTTAAGGTTGAAGAAAATTAAAAGAAAGTTAAATGAGGATTCCGGGAAAGATAGATTTAAAATATTAATAAGACCGGTCAAATTAAGTCTAATATATCGATCAGCGTATAGTGAACTAGTATCTTTATTCGACCAAGGTTTTTCTTTCCCCCTAATTAATTTCATAGTAATAGCTGACAATGAGTTAAAAACTGCTTGTCTTCCCCTATGAATATGCGGATGTGCTACCATGTTTTTCAATCAAGTGTCATTAATCGAGGTTTTCGAAGCTTCGACCTAATTAATAGTAATAGCGCGTGACCGTATTTTAATATTATATCTTTTTTTAAATATATAGTTAAAAGAATGTTCGATTAAGAAATAGATAATCTTTTAAAAATGCAAATGCGAAAGTCAAATGTCTTATATTTTAAACTTTTTATACCGAAAAGAACGGGAAGGAAATTTATTAATGCTTTTATCAGAGTCGTAGTATAATGTTATTTAACACTAAATACGTAACACTCTATTAAAAGATTGCGATAAGAATTATTCGCACATGGTTTGCATAGCCTATATAATGCGTAGTATTAGAAATAGTAATGCATTGTAGTACTTAAATATACACGTATATGGTTTGAATGGAATTATCGTTTAATTACTTTTATGAAATCACATTTTCTTTGTGTTAGTTTTGCTTTTCTGGTTTTTGCTTTCATTTTTTCTTACTTCCGTTTAAAGAAAAAGACTGGAAGAGACAAAAGAATCGTATGAGTTTAAAGAAGTATGTATAAGGCTTGTTGAGCTCCTTAAGTAGGATTGAACAATTGAAACATGACGAACGTTTTAACCAATCTTGAGTAATATAGGATATGGAAACGAATATCAAAGTTTACTACGAAATGCATTTCTTATTCACATTAAAAGATTTTCTGTATTTATTTTTAAAAAATATTTATTTTTTAAAAATAACGCTGCGAAATAAAAGTAGTTATAACAATAATATGGACATTTATGTAAAGTGTAAAACATTATTATCTATAAAAAAAATTATTATTTCTCGTATTGCAATTTAAAATATTAAATGAGAAAAATCATTTTTTAAAGATTGTATGTTATAACGTATTCAGTAATATTTTATCATAATTTGTTACAAGTTTCTGTTAATATTCATTCGTCTTTTCAATGTATGATATTATATTTATAAGTAACTATAATAAGTAATTTAGTGATTAAGCTGCTATTCCAAACTTTGTAATTTCTTTCAATCATTCTGATAGCATTTTCTTTTTAAACTTTCAACACATTCTCTCTTGAAAGATAAACAAAGGATTTAGAAAAATGCATTGTGAAATATATCTTTGTTTCTTTTATAAATCAGAAACTTTTTCTTTGTTTACGATAACATATTACATACTATTGCAACACAAGCATATTAGTTACAGTAAACTTATTTAATACTGTTCTTTAGGCGCAAGAAATATGATTTTGTAATGTTGTTGGTTATTTGACATTTAGAAAACTTATTCTTTGTTATTTTATATACGCATACACATATGTATTTATCTTTATACGTATAAACGTATCTTATTCTAAGGTCAGAGATATCGTTATGTATTTTCACATATTTGATGCGGATTATTTTTTCGTAGATTTGAACTTATTTATGATTTAAGTTATTTCGAATATTTAAATTTGGTTATAAAAAATTAAGGAATTTTTATTCGATATTAGATTTTGATTAGAATAGATAGAAAGTATGTCAAGGGCAGGCAAGTGATATTAAAACGTCAATTCTGGTTAGTTGCTAGTGTTGTACTTATTATTCATAGTAATTTAACATTGTTTCAACGTTTCTTATTAATTACTTGTTATTTTATCAATAAAGTAGGTGTTCTTAACTGAATATTGTTATAGTTATTTTATTAGAGTCAAGTGGTAATTGTTGTAATTTGTATTTAAATTAGTGGCTATAAGAATAAGAAATATTGTTTTGACGATTCTGTAACTGATACGTATTAAATACAACCATGCAAATTAGTATTTAAGTTAGATGATGAATAAAATATATGCAATTGAATTTAAATTAATGTACATCTGATAATCAACTTCTAGTACAACTGATAAAAATAAATTAAAAGGGATTGTTCGATACGTTGATGTCAAAATTAAAATTATCAATTCGAATAAATAATATCTTCTGGGCATTAACAATTCTTTTATCTTATCTGTATAATTCAACGCTCTTTACTAATTAATTATCTACATAAGAATATTTAGCTTTTCATAAATTACATTTACATTAGCTTACAATAAGTAACTATAAGGAGCTTTACATTAGTCTTTAAAAGTATCTATAAGATAGTAGAAAAATAATTATTGGAAAACTGCTAATCTTTGGAAGTTAAAATATTAAGAATTTTATACGCATTAGTTTTTGTTTTTATTCATACGACTAATAACACATGTTGAATTTCTATTTGCATCGAATGTTTAGTTTAATTTTGTTTGAAGGACATAGCTGATTTTACTCCCGTATCCTCATTATTAGGGTAGTGTTACATCTTTTTCAGGTTTTTTTTTTAGTGGAAAGGAGATTTCTTGAGGAGCAAAATCTATTCCTAAAAATAGGGGAAGTTTTAAAATGTCAATTTTATATTGAAGTTCTTAAATGACGACATATTTTTGACAGTAGAAGCTGCCTGCCATGTTTATTAACTCATAATTTTGTCAGATTTTTCGGAATGGTGCGTCACAGTTAAAAAAATTGAATATTACTATTTTTTACCTTCCTGTGTATGGAAAAGTGACCTATTTATATAATTGATATAATATGCGTATCGTACGAGTATTACATGCAATTCTCAATAGCTTTGTTTTTATTAAATGAGTGAATTTTAAAATGCCATTCCTTTTGCAAAATCTTCAATGTTAAGTAAGTAAATCCTGCGATCCACGATGCCACCTATGAAGATTAGTAAAAGTTAGACATTATACGATTCACTCATCTAATAAAAACAGAACTAGCTAGAATTGCATTATTGCTGCGATAATTTACTAACTATATGTATGGAACACATTATTGGACCTGCTGAGATACTTTGCGAAATCTTCAATGTTGAGCAAGTAATTTCTATGATTAACCATGACGCACCATCCCGGGAAAGTTGACAAAATTATGAGTTAATAAACATGACAAGCAGGTTCTACTGTAGAGGTATAAATGTCGTCATTTAACAACTGCAATAAAAAATTGACATTTTAAAACTTCCCCTATTTTTTAAGAATGAGTTTTTCATTCAAAAGATCTACAAAAATTCCCAGATATGTAACACTATAGCTATAATCAGAAAAGAAATCAAACAGTAACACTATAAATCATACTTAGGTCAATAATCCTAATAATAGGGGTAGGAGGTTAAAACTTTGGAAATGGTTTTCCTAGGAAGCTGTTTCAATCGATGCATCAAAAGTTTAATTTGGTTTAGTGGAACTTTCATATTTGCCTATGCCTTTTGTGAAATGTTTAATTTGAAATAAGAAATAGATACATGCTCGTTTAAAACTCATTTAAGATGAAAAGATTCCTAACTATATGTTATTAAGTAGATATTTATGTGTAAAATTTTATCTTTATTAGATTACGATAAAATCAAAGTTAATTAATTTACTATCAGCGATTTTGAGTATGTGCAATATCAGAGATTTGATTTAGATTCGAGATAATCCCATTCGTTTTTGTATTCAACATTATACATCCATACATACGTAGATGATACTAGAAATATAATATTACTTAAAATGATACGGCAGTGAAGATAAATGAATAAAATTGCTTTGACATTATACTCAGATTGATCGTAAATGAAGAACTTTTATTCTATATTCGCATATAAAATAATCTTCCAGATTGTATATTTCTGTCTCTTTGAGAATTAAGAAATGAAGTATTTGATCCGATTTTGTTATTGCTGATTTTCGTTTTATTTTGAACCACAGAATCTTCTTGATTTCATTCGTACCACGAAGTTAGGCACACGGTATAAAAATTCCCTAAATTTATATGTATTTTGTAATTGAGGATAAAGTACTATCTGTAAGAATCTTTATACATACTTTTACTAAATGTTTTTTTTTCAGAGATCAACGGAACAGTTGACTCATTGCAGTACGGCGACGTTGGAGGAAATCCTGGATAATTCGGACGGAGTAACGACACGAACTGTCTCCGAGAAGATCATGAGTATCTGTAAAAATACTATACGTTGGGTGCTCTTTCTGGATATATTACTTGCTTTATCAGGTTTGAATATATTTCTCTTTCTTTTTACTTAATTGTTACATTCATCGTGCAATTATCATGTAACATCATTAAGACATACCATCCAATTTATTTCTTTTTCTTCCAACTACATACATATAATAATAATATTCTTCTAAATGTAATCAATTTACATTTCCGCAGTTTCATTGATTCGATATGTGCTAATTTTATTAATTAGATTCTTAAAAAATTACTATGTAGTCTATTTACACGAAAATATGGAATGCTAAAGTCATGATTGCTTTTCCTTCATTTTTTGTGCTGTATAAGGGAATGCATATATGCATGTATAATATATAAAGATCTTTAATTTTATTTTAGTGCGAAAAATATAAGTACATATATGTCATGTCTAAAAAATATTAAAACGATATCAAACGAATAACCATCAATATTTATAATATGTATAAACTTTATGTTAGGTATACATGTTATATTTATATCCATTAATTTAGTACATTTTTTCGATCATTATGAGGAAGTAACTCACTTGTTAATTAAAGCGACAATTAGCTATACGGAAGAGCATGTCATTCATTGCTTCTAAACAGAACTTATGAATAGTAAATGAGAAACTATTAAAATGGTTTTGTTCTACTTCCACATTTCTTCTTTTGGAGAAAACAGGAGACGAATAGGAACACTTCCCATTGATTCCTTTTCTATAAAGGCAACTTAAAAAATTATAATTAAATAATTGCTATAATCCTTAAAAGAAACTAATTTTTCCCAAAAATGATAAAATCTAATTGATTATTTTAGTTGAGCCGTTAATAATCCATTATAATGAACAAAAACATTTATTTTTCACAGAGAGAGAAGACAATTTTTTAATTAATTTGATATTTCAGTGTATCGTTATGATTTATTACTGCAATTTTACTTTTTTCAAGATATTATATATTACTAATGTCATAAGAATATCGCATATACAAAAACGCTAGATATACTAAAAAATAAACCATTTACGACAAGGAGGTACCAGGTATAAGTCTTTTTGACATTTGTATATCTAATAACAGTTGGTATTGAAGATACATATTAAGTACGTTAACTAACTAAATGCACGCTAGGAGCGAATCGTGCGTGCAATGAGAGTTGGCTGGAAAACCACAAACCATGTAATACAATACTGTATGACTCGACCGTCTGCTTAGAATTTTTCCGGGCGTGTCGCACTAAATAACTTGGTGCACTGGTACACACGCGTACGGTGAAACGTCAATGAACTGTGTTGTGACAAAATAAATTGCATTACTGTACAAAAGAACATAAAATTCTATGTTATCCTACTAATTAGGGCACATTTCATGTTAAATGAGTTTCAAGAGCTAAAATTAAAAAAAGGAAGGGGAAAGTATCATTTACTAAAGAATTATCACAGAGTAATAAGGAACAATAATTACTCTTAGACCTCTTATGAAGGTCGGAGATAAAAATGTCATTAAGCGTCATTAAATAACATTGTTATTAAGTACTGTTATTTAGATATAAATTCGATAATCTTTAAAACGATACTTCTTTCCCAATATCAATCCACAGCGTTTCATATCGAATCTAAATTCAACATATAGTTGAGCTGACCATTTCATAAAATTAAGATTATTGTCTTGTAAAATTTTTGGATCATTATTTTCTTGAAGTATCTAACTTTCACATAAATTATTGATATCATTACCCCCCTAGGGCGCCCTACTCCCAAACACGTATAATAATAATTAGCCTCATGTCCACTTTACATGACTCAGCGTTTATATTGAACCAACGCCATTTATGGTCATTCCTCCCCAAACCATATCTAATTAATTTATCACTTTCTTTATCCACATAGAGTGGATTTGATACGTCTTAGACAAAATTTCCCCTTATTCGACATTGTATATAAGATTTTCCATGTGATTCAAAACGACTAAATCTTGATTCATTAGCGAAAATTTCCACTATTTTCTTATCCATTTTGCGCATGGTTCATCTTATTATCTTAAATTCATTTAGGAGACGATATATTATGTAATTATTAATTTCCACATTAAACTTTGATCAAAGTTTGAAATGAATGATTACGATTCTCCTGGACTAATATTCTTCAGAGAAGCTATGTAACATATGATACACTTATTCTAAGTACATAGATCTATTAGCACATTTTATTTTCAGAACTATTTTGTCGGTCTATGATATCAATATATTCAGCTATTTAATAAAATTTCATTTCTATCAGCTTATTCTGAATTCGAAAATTGCTCTTTGCCGTTCATCTGTAATAAGCTGTCGTTCACCTATTTTTATCATTAACATGTATAGACTATGGAATACTTTGAGATTCTTGGCACGTAGTAGTCAAGGAAAGCGTTAAGAAAATTTTGTTACACTTTCTCGTTGCTACTAGCTCATGTTTCGGTAAAAATTATCTACATATCTTGAGGTGTTTAGGTGAAATTATTATAATAATTACTCCTCTATATAAACTCCTCTATATTACTCCTCTATATTACTCCTCTATATAGTATATACTATGTACATATATTTAAATTGAAAGTGATCGTATATCGATTTTAAATAAAAATAGTTCGATTTAGAAACTAGGGTTTGTTAATCGATCTTTTTGCACACGAATAAAATTAGTTCAAGTTATACACTTATCAGCAATTACTATCGCAAACGTTCAATGAATTCCATGTGACAGTTTTCACAGGGGAATATTTAAATCTTTTTCAAATTATTGCTTATGAAGATTTCAATATCAATATATTTTGTAAAAAAGAATTATATAATTTTATCATTTTTATTTATTAAGTATTTCACAATGTGTTTAACAACGTATTATATATACATATATACATATGTACATATGCAGGATGTAGCATCTAGTTCCATCATCATCTAAAATATTTCCTACAAAAATTGCGTAGTTTTGTAGTAGCAAGTGGATAGTAAAAATATTTGTATAGCGTTGTAGAAGATTGACGTGATGAAACGATCAAATCTGTTTTTCTTTTTTTTTTTTCAAAGAATGTTGTGTTTCGTTTAGCTGTAAAGTTTCTGCAACACTAAATACTGCAATGTTAACAAAGGTCGTATAACGAAGTTTTCTACTTAACTTGCTGTGGCACTGCTTCAGAAGTGACGTTTCGTTTCATCTTCGATTCTTGAGATAGTTCACTTATTTTTGAACACGTCCTAACCTGTAAGTGGTAAGGATATTTCTGATTACGTGTAAACATGCAAAAGAAATGTTGAAATACTCGTCATTGATATCAATACGTTTTAAATATCACTGAGTCATGGAAGAATTAATGCAGCAGCTTAGATGGAGTTGTCGATAAGAGATTAAAAACCAAGCAATCAAGCATCCAAGCTCGGTGGCTCGAATCTCGAAAGCTGTCGGCATTATAGGGACCGTCGAACAGAATGAATTTCGAGCAAATTGTTAAATTATCAATGGTTCGCCTATGTCAGATCAGTCAGAAAGTTTGTCATGTAAACTCGTGCATATGATTCAACATATCATTTCATTTGTCGCCCGCACCTTTGCGTCGCGTCATTCGTGTTTCGTGGTCGCTGTGATCAAGTGCGTATAGCGTACATACTTACAACCTTGTATATATGTATATTTTGTTGAACGGTTAAACCCAGTGCAGTGTCTCTGGCAACTGGTCGATAGTGTGTAACAGCTTTTACTTGCAATTAACAGTATTACCTCAGCCAGCAGCATCAAAAGTTAAACAGAAAATTTTGTTTTCGCTGACCTTAAAATACTTAGATTATAGGTGGTCGAGTTTGTCTATTACTTACAAGTAAACAAAATATAACATTCTATTTAAGAAAACAAAATCGACCTTTTTATCTCATTAACCGTTTGTAACGCATAATAAATCTATTTTTACTATATATCGGCTTCTACAAAGTTATAGAACTTTTATAGGAAATCTTTTTTTCAAATTTTATTTCACAATGGAAATATTCCAGATGATACACTCTGTATGTAACAATAATTTATTGAATGTCTCTGTGAATATTGGTGGCAAGTGTTATACTTCAGTACTATTGAAAATGTCATGATGGCATTGAGATATTCAATACATTACCATTTCAATAAATTTCCCGAAAAAAGAAGAAAAGGCGTCACAAAAGGATGGAAATACATTCATACTAAAATATCTGCAACAATCTAAATATAATTCTGTTAAATTGAATAATCTCTGCTAGATTAAACAATTTTCATATGAAAATATTTTGTGTATTTTTAATAGTTATAGAAATAATAGTATCTATATCATACATTTGATCTGTAAGTTGCAACATTTGGCTATAGCTTAATTTTCTTATATACGCGCTCACCATAGGTTTTAACTTTAGGTCATATGACATTGAAATTTATTCTTCTTTATATAAGCAGTAACAATGATGTAACAAACATATGCACATATTTCTGAGTTAAACGAAGTGGACAAAAAATAAGCAAGGCAGCTCATACAAATATGTATGTCTGATATAATCTTCTTTATGAATTACAATTGTTCCCGTCCACCAGTAATTTTTGTTAATAATAATGAAGTCGTATGTCATACATATTTGATTTATATACAATGATACTTGACTTTATTTTAGTTCTTTAATTAGATAATTTTTAAGTAAGCGATTTCCAAGTAAATATTATATATTGACCGTGATGCTATTTATGATAAATTGACCATTATTTAAGTAAAATATATTATTTGAATAATATATCATCTTATCTGACTCGTTGTTATTCTGAAATGTTTATATATTAATATATTTACCGAACAAGAGGATTTTTCTCTGAATTGTTTCATTATTTGGATATCAAATGTTAATCAATATTTTCTGGCGTAATTTATTGCAAAAACGCGTATAATTTTATATATGTATTTATTATCCAAAGGTAATTGAAATGAGGAGAATTTAGTAGAAGTGATAGTATTAGGTTGTCCGAAAAGTCTTAGGTTGTTCGATAAAATAATATAAAACGAAAAATGTTGTGCATCCATTATTTCCTTATAAAACGAAAGAAACTTTTACATTATAAAAGTATTTGAATATGTTGTAATAATACCGTCTCGACATCTGAATTTATTATTTATGATTTAAGAATATGCAAAATGTGATACTTGACACTGTGAATCATCTGTTGCATTATTTAAAGCTGTTAACTAGTATAACTAATATAACGAATTATCATATTGTGTTCGCTATTGATATATTTATCCTTATGGTCTCGTAACGAGCAAGCATACAGCAGCACTCGACTAATGAGTAATAGTTAAAAATTATAGATATTATTTTGGAAGCAATTTTTAATGAAGTTTCTCCTTAACATTAAAACTGGTAAGACTATAAGTTTATTAATAGATTAAAAGCAACAAATTTTTCTAAATACAAGAATAAGATATCTACTGATGAGATGGCGCGATAGTACAAAAAAAATACAACCCCTGCTCACCATAAATCAGGTCATTATCATCAGATAGGCAAGGAATTTCTAAAATGATAGAGCGATTCTTATATCGCCCTTAAAAAAGCAAAATTTTCTATGATAATAATTATTTATAAAGTAATTAACGATTAAATGCGATTTTCTTGAAATAATATTTATATTAAAAATTGATATAAAATATCTTCATGAACTCTCTGAGATAAATTACAAAAACAATTGATCTTAAACCTTGCGTATATCTCCAAAATATTTCTACCAAAAGAAAGTTGACAAAAGCATAGAAATTCAAATTTCTACATAAGAACATTATACTTTCACTTCAAACTCATATTGTTATGTTTATGTGTTCGTAGTTTTTAAAAGTAACAAACGAGATTTGTGATATTTGCACGTGTTGTATCAACCAAGCACTATTTTAGGGTAGAAAACTATCAAAGTTTATTTTCTACTACATAAGTATGTATATACTTGGTTCTCAACTGTGTAGATATGCAGTGATTCCTTGGTGATTCTTTCATTTTAAATTTTTAGTTCTAAAATTTTAGTATTATCTGGCAAGTTTACTAACTTTGTGGTATTTTTAGTTAGGTACACTAGACTTGCGCCGTTTATTAATACATAACGGTACACCCATAAATCTAACATTTTCATTTCTAGATAATATTTTATTTTATATAATAGATAATAGATTCACAGACATTTGTTCTGTAAAGAATTCTATTATATGATGTTGCACAAAATCGGAAAACAAAGTCTTATCATTTAAGTACGTGATAAAATAGCAACGATAAAAAATTGCGGTATATACGTATACAGTATATTCTTTCCTTTCATCTGAAGATATGTAAATATTTCGAAACATATGCGTAATACAAAAAAATTTTAGGCGAATGTTGTATTGTTTTAAGCTACGTAAAAAGAAATGCAACAATAGGATGTAGAATCCTATTTAAGAATTTAAATGCGACCTTCACAACGGCTTTTCAAGACCATTGCAGGATTAAATATTGTAAATATCAGTATGATATGTCGTCTCTAACATCCTACAGAAATCGTTTGGAACATTTTCTGTATCATTCATCGTTTCTGAAATATTTATACATACCTATGTTTTTAGATAAACTGGAGGTTCCAAGAAAGAACCTACAGAAAAAATTGCAAGCGCAGAATATTCAAGAAAAATAATCTATACTACTCTATATTCAGACGTATGAATCCTATTTTAAATTAAAATGCTGCAACATATTAGATACATATTAATGTTTAAATTACATTTTGTTCCAATGTCCAACTATCTTTATAACATGAGAATCGGATGTTGTCCCATTTAATGTTTATACAAATACAAAGAATATATATATAGATATATAATATTAATATACAATAATTATATAATATATAATTAATATTATATATGTATATATACACTATAATATACTATACGATGTACTATATATTACTATTACCACTTATATATATAGTATATAGTATATATAGTGGTAAACGATAATATCAAATGAGCAAAGAATTTATAAAAAAGCAATAAATTTATTTCACATTTATCTAATTTATTCTATATATGAATATTTCAGGCGTTACATTGATCAACTTAACTATTTGTCAGTTTTTTAGTTTCATCACATAAGTAGGCGGTTAATGTTTAATTCTCAAAAGACAGAAGACATGCTTGCATGAGTTCATTTATCATGGGAAGATGACATAAATAATAGTAGTAGTTTTCAAGATAAATTTGAAAAATAATATTTGCAACATCATCGCTCTTTTTTACTTTCTACTTCGTGATGTTAATCAGTTTCTTCCGATCTCTGAATGGCTCATATATCAGAAGACATTAAAGAGATAATAGTGTATCTTTCATTTATTAAAATCTTTATTTATATAGCATTAATAAGAAAAGGTTTCAGGATTGTTTTCATTAATCACATCCTTATACCTTCCCAAAAAGAAAAACTGCTTGATCATCGAGACAAGCTATGCAATCACATGAGTTATACGCATGCGTTCGAGTTTGAGCCGAATACTTAACTATTGCTTCACGTAGCAAGCGCACAGTATCGTGTGTGATATTAACTCTACTGGTGTTCGAAGTAAGAGCACTCGTCGCTCTTCCTCTCATTTTCTCTTTCCCTTTTTTTTACCTCTCTTCGTCCTTCTTTCCTTCCTCCTGCCTCTTTCTTCCCCTCCTCCCTAGCTGCCTTCTTCCAATTACGTATCATTCTTATTTTTAGTCTTTTCTGATGTTGTTGCTTTGATTGTTTGCAAGCACGTGTCAAATTTACATAATATGGACAAGAGTAAACTCAATAGAAAAGTAGCCTCACGGTGGAAAGATTTTAAATTGCTAACTCCACTAAATTTATACAGTTTGTGTAAGTATCGAGCAAAACAAAAATGGAACGTGTCATGACACGTGTACTTTCCTCAACAAGTACATAGAAAATTGATTTAGCAAAACGTTGAAGAAAAAAGTATATTTGTTTAGATGTGTTCAAATTGTTACGACAATAAGGTTTTCAACGGAAAGAATTACGTCGCAGGATATTGTATAGTGTAATTCCTTTTAGTTATAAATGAATTTAAAATAATAAAATGATTGAAGTCGATGAGAAAATCTTTCTCATTGTGGATATTTTTCATTGTACTAATTGTAAATAATTACTAACTAAGACTTGCATGAAAAATTAAGTACGTACTATTTATGTACATAGATATAAAATAGTAGAATTATTACGAGGACGTACATATATCTTTTCTTTTTATTTTAAACATCATTAATTATATTCAAATGTATTATTTATGACTATACTGTGTTCATACCATATTAGTGACGATAAAGCTGTTGTAATACTAAAATATTGAATTAAAAGTATCAGTCTCGTATTCAACTTGTCAGAAGCCAATAAATTATTAAGAAATAATATACTGTTAACTATGAAAAACGTTTCGTCTGTTATGTTATAGTTTTTAATGTATGTTTTATTATCGTTTATAATATACATATTTACTTCAGTACAAATTGTTTCTTCGATAAAAACAAATATATGTCTTAAACGAATACTCCTTTAAAATAAAATAGACACAAATAAACTTTATTTTGTTTCCTGAAACTGAAACAAATATACGTAGGTATTCTGAAATTCTTATTCAAAGGTTTATTTCATTTCATATCGATCGTATGATATCTGTTATCTTTATCTTACATATCTTTGTACATAATATGATGTTTTCAATTCTGGTATCGATCGAAAGTGACAGTTTACTAAAGTTTTTCTAACTAATAAGTAGTGTGTAATATTAATAATTTATAATACTTGTATTGTTTTTGTAACATTCCCTTATTATGTTTCTTTTAAATTCGTATCGAAAAAGTTAGAAAATTAACAGGATTTTTATTCTTCATTGTCAAACCTTACATACATATATGCTTGATCTGTTAATAAAATAAATAATGAGATTTTATTCGATTACTTGACATGTATATGTATCATTGTATATATATTACCAGTATAATTATATAATGTATCAGCAATGTTCAATACGTTTATTTCCACAGGTAGAATCTTCAGATAATTCTTCAGATAAAATATCAAATAAAAATATAAACATTATTGCACAACTGCAATGTCACACGATAAACATCTGCAAAACTACCTATGACTATATGATTATAAAGATACTGAATCGTTTCTCTTTTGATATTATTCAACTTTTGCGCGAAAAACTTTTTCATGCAGTAAATAATTTTGTAATAACTTAAAATCATGAAGTTAGGTACATCATTCTACGAAGTTAGGGCCTAAAATGTACTATCTTGTACTATATTAAAATGTACTATATTAATATCGTGCTGTTTATTTTCTACCTGACTGCGAAATGTAAACATATTGTAAATGATGTCAATGTAACAGCCAATGGAACTCTAGCATCATTTTTCAAGAAAATAATCGAATCACAAGTTACAACTCGTGATTCCTTTGACAAGTATGATCCTCGTGATGAGTGCAACAGGATTCAAGCAAAAGAAATTTCATCTTAAAATTCAAAGTCAAGATCAATTTCCCGGTACTTTCTTTTGCTTATATCTTTTTGCACCATCGAACCGATGGTGTAGAATTATCTGTTATAGCAATGACATGTTTTTTTTAACATTCTGTACATGTACGAGCGAATTATTTTAGAAAATTTTCTGAATTTTATCATGTTGAAATACTATTAAAGTCTATGTATTTACTAATTTGAAGTTTGAGTAGTTACAATTTTTTACTTCTTTTTACAGACATATTTTCTAATTTTCAATTGTACTCTTGTACTTTCCAGTCATTGTATTTCTAGCAGTATTGGAATTTGGGACAGTTCCGCAACAACATATCGGTTTTTACTGTAATGATCCAAAAATTTCATTCAAGTTCATGGGAGATACGATTTCTATTACATTTTTGATTCTTGGATGTCTGTTAATACCGATCGTCGTGGTATGTATAAATAAAATAAATATAAAATATTTTTAATATTTCTAAAAATTTAAAAATATTTGCTGAATAGGATTTATAATTTTCTAAAAAACTGTCAAACACAAATATTTGTTTGAATTAATTATTAATTTGAGTAATAAAAATTCTTTTGTTTTAAAAACATAAATATCTCCTTGAACGCGTTACTCTAAAATATGAATACAAAATTTGTATCAGTAAATAAAAGTCTAAATGAATTACAAATGTTGAATTAAATTCTCAAGTTTATTTTATCAATTGAGTTTGTATATAGAAATCATTTAAGCATTGAAATCCTTTCAGGATTTTAAGATTGAAAAATAGGATATAAAATGAAAATGCTTTTAAAATAAATTTAATTTATTTTTGTACGTTACGTGAAATATAACAAGACATTTTTTATCAAGGCCATAATTATTATTATAAATACATATAAGTTGCGTCCGGATTTGCGAATCTCACACCCTTATATTTTTTATCAACTTCAGAGAAAGATTCAAAATCGAAGACATAAGGATTTATGTCTTTATGTCGCAAAGTCAATATTAACAAATCTCAAATAATTAATATTTGGAATTTTAAAAGTTCAAATCATATCCAAACCTGTTAAATAAGCATAACAAATAAAAGTGAGCGAAAGAATAAAGTCATCATCGCTCAATGCTTAATGTTTTCCAACAAACGATAACTTACTGACTGATAAAAAATGAAAGCTTCCCATCTTTATTCCTACAATAAAAGAGATTGCAGTGGACGAGTGATATTTTCTCGATTAACTGAATAAGTCTAAATATGAACTTAATTGTGGTTTAGCATTATCTAGTGTACTCCACATTACCGTATTTTAATATTTAAAAATTTTAGGGAAATAGCAAAGAAAAAATGGATATTGTTACGCGTCACAACACGATGCTATTGCTATTATTTCTATGAAGAAACAAATTCTATTTTGCTATATGAAATATTATTTTTTAATAATAGATCTATACGCATAATGGGAAATAGTTAGTAATTATATTTATAGAATTTCAAGTTAAACATTACTTATTAATCAAGTAATAATGAATGGATTAATGAAATTTAACTCAATCAGCTTAATTAGGAAGACTTCAGCAACCTATTAGAATTCCTTTATCGAGAAAGAGAAAAAATGATAAAAATTTCAGTTTTCATCAACCGAATAACACCCCCTAATTGACCAGATTTGAATGCCAAGCGTTGAGCGATAAAAATTGCTTTTTTGCTTACTCTTATTCGTGTAATTATTTTCTCGATAAAATAACGTTTCCCCTAGATTATTCTTAAAAATTAGGGAAAATAACAGTTCTTTTCAATGCATATTAACGGGGCATTACACTGTATATAATATATTTATGCTACTGCAAGTCTTACTTATGTTTCTGCTAGCTATTAATTTTGTTGTAAATCTAATGAATTATAATTCTGTTCCTCTGTAATTTTGTAAATAACATTTTATTTTGCATATTTTTAGATGTGGCTGTCTGAATTCGTATGCTACTCTGCAGATAGCTATGATACAGAATTAGGATGCGCTGGTTCAAGAGCAAAACAAATATGGTTGTGGTATGGTCACTATTCGATCGGAATAATTGCCTTAACGTTTATATGTGATGTTATGAAAACTCTGGTGGGCGAACCAAGACCACACTTTTTGGATACGTGTAAACCACGAGAGGCAGAGAATTGCACCAATGAGTAAGCATTTTTTTTATTGTATTACATTTTTGTTCGTAAGAATAATTCATCTTCCACAAGAATGTATATATTTTACAATATAAAAATGGTCTTCTCTTTTCTTATATTTGTATTTTTTACTATACATAACTATATTACATTTATATGTCGTATTTAAAACTACGAGATAATTTTCTAACCAAAGGTATTTTAAAAATATGATTTTAAATAACGGTATAATATATTTAATTAATTATTACAAAAATCTTAGTTCGATAGTACTTAAATAAAGATTAAAAAACCATCTGTGATCTTCTGTTTGGTACTATGAATTTACATACTGAATTTCAGATATGTGGAAAAATATACGTGTACAAATACAGAACATTCAGAATGGTTTGTCTCGGATTCTAGCAAATCATTCCCATCTGGCCATTCTGCCCTCTCTATGTTCACAACTACTTTTATTGTGGTAAGTTGGTATAAATATACATACACATTGTATTTACATATGATTATACATTATGAACATTTATATATTCACTTCTTCGAATTTTTTAATTTCTATTAAAAATTGCAAAAATTGCAATGCAAATACGAGTAGATGAAAAATTCTGATACAGAGCCTGGAATAACAGAGAAATTGTGAACATTAAATTTAAAGGACTTTGAGCCATGTTTTATTATCACTTGGATGACTATATTTTCCAGTACTTTTTATACATTAAAAAATTCTGATGGGCATAGTTTTTGGCTATCTAAGACTGAGAATTATATTACTGTTTCTACAGATTTTTGTTCTATCATTTTATTTTATTTCTTTTGGTCATTTATACATACGTATGTAAATACATAAAGAGTGTATACTGTAGGCACCATTTGTCAAATATTTCCAAAAATCTGCTAAAGAAATGTTCTGAACAAAAGATAGTCAGTTTACGGTTCGCTACATATTCGAATATTAAAAATTTCAAAAAATAATCTCTTCCTCAATAAAGAGTCAAGGTTGAATTTTTTTAATGATGTCATAAATTTTGCACTTCACAAAGTCGTAGCTAACGTCAAGATAAATTCAACGACCTATCATATTATAACTTCGCAATAAAATTTAGAAATTTTTGGATTCAGAAATTCAGGTTGGATCAACAAAAGCAATGTTAAAATGTATTTTATTTTCATCAAATAACATTTTCCAAATAAGATTAAGGACAAATTAATAAGTTTATTAAACAGATCTAACGATAAGAATAATACCGTTTTGAATCCCATATCACCTTATGGTTATGGAAAGTAGGTCGTGGAATTCATCTTGACGTTAGCTTCAACTCTGCGAAATACAAAATTTGTGGTGTCACTTAAAAAACTCAACCTGACTGTGACCTCAAATCGAAAAAATGTTTGCTGGAATTTTTTAATATCTAAATGTATAGCAGATTGAAAACTGACTAACTTTTGTACAAAGCATTTCTTTGGCACATTATTAGAAATATCTGAAAAATAGTGACTACTCTTAGAAGATATTATAACCTGTATATACAGGGTGTCTTGAAATTAGTAGTATAGATGTTCATATAAATGGTTCTCAAAATTTGATAAATATACTTAAACTAAGTTAATTCAGGACTGAATAGCAGTAAATAACCGATAGAAGATTAAATGCGAAAATAAGTAAAAACCGTGGAGTAAAATTTTTCAGAAAAAAAATTTGGAAATGTATCATGTGCGTTCATCAGACCAGTCCTTAATTAAATACGTTTAAACGTCTTTTTTCGAGAACAAAGCCATATGAAAAAATCAACAAAGTCATCAAACAAAGTCATATGAAAAAATATTCTATATTTTCGATTTATGTTTTCACGTAGGATCACTCCATATCCTATTGTACCATTTACTACGGGACACCCTGTATACATATATCGACTTTGCTATGTACTGGTGTTAACTATAATTGACTTTAGATTGTACTAATCGACTTAGATAAAATGAATTTAATTCATTATGCATCATTGCATCAATTCATATCATTCGTTTGTCTAATAAATTGAATTATATTTTTATGACATTTTTGTAGATATATTAATTTCATAGATTTATCTATTATACGTACTTACCGTAAAGATTATTTACATAAAACCAGATTGTTTCAGAAACAATATTTTTTTTATCTTACAGAAACTTCTGTAAATTTTAAAAGTTTAATTTTTTGATAGAATATGAAAATACTCTTCACGTAAATGATGTACGTTTAGTTAAACTTTTTTTGCAATGTTTAAATCCTTTTTATCGTTTTCCTTTTTTATAACATTAAACAAATACATTTTTCTGTTGTAGTGGTACTTACAACGCCGTTTACCAGATCGGACGTTTTTCCTAAAACCGTGGTTACAATGTATAATATTTTTGTGGACTGTGATATGCTCATTAACAAGGATCGGTGACAATAGACATCATTGGTGGGATGTACTTGCAGGCATCATTTTGGGTTTCGCTTTTAGCATGTTAACTGTTATAGTGCCATGCCGTAAGTTTCATTTAAATCGTCATCAAAACGTCTCACAAATATATAGTGAGCCTGTAGAAAGTGAACAAATTAATTTCAACAAGAGAAAACAAAACACCAAGAAACTTTTACATGAAACAATAATTGATCCTTCGGAAAGTCGTGAATTAAAGAATATTAAATCATCAACCTGGAGGGAATAAAACTTAACACATCAAAATATTTGATAAGAGAAGATTTAAAGAGGAATTATAAATGTTTTGTTGTATAAATGTTCAAAATTTCTAGTAGAATTTAGTAGAAACGCTTTATACAAAGTGTTTGATATGACATGCCTATTATATTTAAAAAATTTAGTTCTTCATGTGATTGATAATATATTCATAAAATAAGACGAAAGGCTTATATTTTATAGTTTATGTTGACAAATATTTTCTTGTAGGTATTTAACCAATGTATATAATTACTATAATTTAGTAGTGATATTATATTTACGATCTGCGTTTATCAAAATAATTTTTAAAAAGCTAAACCGTAACGTCAAATGTTTATTAATTGAACTGCATTAATCGGACATATCTAATTGTACATGTGTGATTTTAGTTAATTATTCATCATGCTCATATTTATAATATTAGACGGTAAAAAATGATAATGAATTCTGTTTACTTGTTTAGAGGCGGAAAATATCTTGTTTGAAAGTAGGAAATTGATTTTCCACTGTTTGATGATACTATTAGTTAATAACTATGTCAAATAGAATAGCAGAGCTGGAAAGATGATTAACGGAACGGATAACGAGTAAGGGAAGGGCAAGGAAAGTACATAGGTACATACTTACATAGTGCTTTCTATCACTCACACGCAATCCTATATGGTTTTATTTGTATTTGGGATATTTTCGGTCAATATGCTTGCTTATTTTTATAACTGTGTCGGGTCTATCAGAAATAATCAATCAGACCCACATTCTTTTATCTAGCCATCTTTCGGCTCTGTATTGTACACCTCACTGATTTCGATGGTCTTGAAATATGCTGTCATGGTTAACGTCCTAATTATAAGTACATATATGTATAACTGTTTCTTATACCGTATATAACCGTCGGTCAACTTTTGTAGTTTCCGAGTTATGTGTAAAAAATCTCAGCTAAATTTAAGTTAAGATTATATTACATTCTGGCGTAAGCACTATATTTTTTATATAAGTCAATCTACACTTAATTCATTGATGATAATGATTTTGAATATAAACAAAAAAAATTCAAAGGTTGAATTAAATTGATATCCAATCACCACTAACAATAAGATGAAATAATATCTGATGAATTGTATATGAAATGCTACATTTTATTTTAATTTTCAGTTAGTTAAAAATGTAGTAATTCTAGCAGTTATTATTGAAAAATTGTTTACAAAATACAGCATTTGTGAATTAATTTATTGCTTAACATACTATTAAATATATTGTTGTATATTTTGAGAAATGAAGTCGATCGATTGGTATATGTATAGGAAAATGCTACTAAGAAACAACATATTTGAAGGTCATCGAAATTAACGAGATATACTCTATTTTACACAATTACCTGTTACAAAAAATGTTCCCTTATTTTAAAACAACAGTGTTGAAAACAAACAAAAACTTCTTTTATTAGCTTTCTCTACATTTCAAATTAATGTAAGAAAAATAAGGAGAATTATTTTTTTAATATTTTTTTAATATGAGAGAGATCAATAATTCATTCCTAATTACACATTATAAATTTATATAATATTTGTATTATTTCTAAGCTTATTTGGATGTGATACACGTATTTATAAATTTATATTTAGAGTATAAATTCATATTTAGACATAATAGAGTAAATTATTTAGACATAATAGAGTAAAATTCATATTTAGAGTATAAATTGAACAAATACAGAGTGCTGTAAGAATAATAATGGGATCAAGAAAGTATAAAATAATGTAGAATAAAAATCTTACTAGTTTATAGCCAAAGTTCTATCCTCGAAAACAGAAACTGTGAAAATATTTGAATAAATAATTTTACTAATTATTAATATATCACATGAATATTAGTACATATTAGTACATGAATAAAAATTATGGTACTTTTTGTTTATAGATCACAATTTTGTATAAATACAATCTTTTCAATTATATTAATTATTTTCAATTTCTGCGGAAGTTGAAAAGATAAAAATTGATTTGGATTAAGTTTTATTCTAACTAATAATTTTGGCTATTATATTTTATTTATTAAACTTTAATAGAATATTATTTTTCTCACTTATACAATACTTTCTTAATTTCTTGATATCCTGAATAAAATTTTTTGGGATAATTTTTCTCCTTGCTCATGGGTACAGTAAATATATTCAAATAATAAGTTCCAATAATAACATTCCATGTTCTGTATTTATATTTTTCTCTTGATTAAGATTATTGAAATATGCATAGTGCATTAATAATATTATATTAGTAACTATCATACTAGTAGTAATCATAGTGATTTGCAATATGTCTTTGCGAGAATCAGAAAAATCATGATGCTCTGCTGGTTGAAATTTGTAATATATTAAATTAAAAAGTATGAACACATGTAATTTTATATTAATGTACATGTAATTGTGTATACATTGAAAATTATTTCTTAAATTTAGGCAGAATGTATGTTTCATGATGTATAATGCTCAAAAGTTTTGGTCAAACCTATCTTTTATAATATTTAAAAATGACAGAAAAAATTCTAATGGTGGTAAAACATATTGTGCTAGGTATAAAATAAATTCCATTAATGTTTATGCTTAATATATGTCTTTTGCATTGAATGATTCAATTTTCATGAAACTTGAATGCTTATAGTAATCTATCTGTGTATATGATTTAAAAACAAAGTCATTCTAAATGTAAGTAAAACACAGCCTGGCGATATTAACAAAAGTATCATCTAGTATAACAATACAGTCGAACAATAACATTATTGGTATTAGGTTATGCGCGTGGTAGCGACAAAATTGTCGCTTTAGTAACGTTATAAATTGAATTTTTGGTTGATGCGATACAAAAGAAAAATAACGTAGTATTGTTAATGTATTGTAAATAATAATGTAGTCGTGTTGTCAAATGTGCACATGTCCATATAAACGAATGCGTCTTTCCATAAGCAACAAATTGTCGGTAGTGCACGATAGCTCTTAAACGAAATTATGATCGAACAAAATTTATTTAGCGATAATGGAGATGGAAGAAAAGTTTTATGTTTATTTCTGGTTTATGTTGGCTTTGATGTCGAAACAATGTCCAGTCAGCTGTTTCTTCTCTAAAGCCTCTTACCTAAAGCGAGAGAGTCATCCTGTATCATATCTATCATATAATAATAGTATTTTAAGTATTTGACTTTACCTCGTATATACATGTAGACACCAGTAGAAATAGAATTGACATTAACATAAAAATTATAAAAATATATATGTATTTCTTTCCTGGAGATATAAATAATCTTACTCACTACATCTCAGTAGATAGATACAAAAACTATATTTTTAACTCGCTTCAATTAATATACTTATGTTTTTGTTAAAGGAAAGCAGTTTGCAATTTTTTGCAATTTTATGTCTTTTTTTATAAAATGGCTTTAATTCGTATCGAAATAGACAATGAAAAATAGACTCGAGCAGATAGTACAATAACATGCCTTGGGCTTAGATATCCTAAAGTTTAACATATAAAATTTCATAAATGCAGTTCCATTGCTATTCAAAATCTTGTAACAGAGGTTTGAATTAGTTGACTGTTCTTTTTTTCTCATATTTGTTATTTTAGCACTTGACTACTTGATCGGATCCAATCGTTTTTGATCAGTCTGTTTGATTCTAAATGAAGAATTTGTTTCAAAAATATTTAACGTTTAATTTCGGCTTCTTTAGTCTTCACTAATAGCTGCAATGCCATAAAATGCATAATTAAATTTTTTGTCCAAAATTGACCTTTCCTTTTTTCTTTGCATTGTATTATTATTTATTTATTAGTTCGTTCATGCCTTTCGGCTTTAAACGAGCTTCCGGTTTTACATCTCGTTTATGTATCTCGCTTCTTATATTCTATTATATTATATCTCTTATATTGCACTCCCTTAATTATTGTGTCTTTAAAACTATGACAACTTTTGGGCTTTTGCCTCCTTGCTGTGCTTCCTTATTGTCGTTCCTCCCCGTCTTGTATTGCCCTATTGTTTTTAGTTCTGTTAATCCTTTTCCAATCTCGTTTAGTACCTTTTCTGTGTCCTTTGGTCCTGTCGTTATTTCGCATTCTTCTATTACATGTCTCAAGTCTTCTTCTTTTCTTTTACATAGCCTGCATCTTTTTTCTCCCTCTTCTTACCAGTATTCCCTTGCTTTGGTCTCGTTTCCACATCTGAATCTTGCTAATATTTTTCTTCCACTTCATCCTCCCTTCTAAGTATTTTGGTACTTTTCATTGTATTGGAAAAACTAGAATAGGATTTTTTTTATTATTATCGGTATCGCATTCACCATACATAGATTTGACGTTTTGATTTTGTTATAGTGACGAACACGCTACAATGTAGCATGATGGGAAGGAATGGGACGATAATATTTTGGTTCATTATACATTTTATTGAGATAGTTAATAAAAAATATCTGCTTATAGAAAATTTAGCTTATCAAATTTTCAAAACAACCGGTGCATTCTTATTGTTGTAACTAATTGAAACAAACTAGTTCGGGGACAGTAATTTTAACAAACAATCACAAATGAAATGAATGAAAAGTAATTAATGATCCAGAGAAAGAAATAGATAGATAGAGAGATAGATAGATAGATAGATAGATAGATAGATAGATAGATAGATAGATAGATAGATACAGAGAGAGAGAGAGAGAGAGGGGAAGGAGAATTAGCCAGCAAATTTTATTGCAGATTGTAAAAAATTACTCAGCTTTTTTGACTCTAGAAGATAAATACTTTCCAATGCAAAATGATCAGAAACAATTGTGTTAAAGAAATATTCAATTTTGCAGTTAATAGTATACATTTGAAAAAAGGGAAATATTTCATTTTATTCGAGTGAAGCTTAAAATAAAATAAATAATCAAATAGCCTCTAATAGCTATATACATAAATTATTATAACCAAACTCAACAAAAAATAGTTACAAGAGAAGAAGCGGTTAATTCAAGTTTCCTACATAACATGGAGTATCAGTAGAGTTGTATTTATAGGTTTTTAACATGCGGTTATTCAATTTTCGCTATCTATAGCCCAAGAGCACCTTAAGGCATGTTAAGTCATTAGAAGAAAGATTTAAATAAAATTATTTAATATTATTATATAATATTTTAATTATGTAATATTTTCGTAAACTGAAATTTTGTAATAACTCGCTATTCCAATTTATGAAAATTCTATGTCTTTATTACATTCCAAAATCTTCAGTGATATATTGTCAATATCCATTAATGGTTGCAAGTTTATTTAAATGTGTGTATATATATCTAACAAATATATGTTCATAAATATGATCAGCATTAATGATTCCGTCCAATAATATTACATTGTAAACTATGATCGAAGAAAAATGAAATTTGTATTATGATAAAATATTTATTCTTTTTTGCAGTTTAACATATGAATATTATAATATTTAATACCGTAAAGTACTTTCGACTTTTCTTGGGTTGTCATGCAGCTAAATTAATGTCTTTCCAGCTTCATAGCTAGATAATTAAAAGTTTAGTATCGAATTAATGTCGTTATATATCTTTTAATTATTATCTGTTTAAGATATCTGTTGTTATGTCATTGATCATCAACTAAACGGAGCTTCTAATCGATTAGCTAAGAATAACTGATTAGAAAGCAGACGATTAAGCTTCAGCAGTATATTGATTTGTATTTATATTGTTTAGGTATAATATTATTTTTCTAATTCATTGTATAATATTTGACTCTATGAAAGTATCTCCACTTTGCCATATTCTATTGGAAAATAGTTGATTTAATATTATTTCCTCACTCCATTATATACTCATATCCGTTCTTGATATTTTAGCATACAGTTTCTTTTCGTAACAATAAATTTTTGAGTGTTAAATTAAGATTTTAATGCAATATGGCACAGGGTGGTTCTCTTGCTAGAGGCCGCGGTCTGAGAAGTTGCCGTTGATCCAAAAATAAGAGTGTGAAAATAAGAATGATTTCAAATGCATTATACATACTCCCAACACAGGCTGTATCGACATCCTTGATGTCGAAACAATGACCGATCAACGGTTTCTTCATACAGACATCTATAATCTTACTCTGTATAATGAATACATATATATGTATGTATATAATATATCAGAAGAATTTGAAGGAGAAACATTCTAATCAGGTGAAAATTTGTCAGAATTTCTTTCTTTACAGTAGTCAGATGTCTAATCAACTTTGTATTAAATATAATCGTCTACATTTGTATAATATTATCCGTTTATATTTAATTTACTATTAATGTTTGTACTAACAATGTATAAAAATTGTGATATATTGGAAAGAATTTGATTGTATGCAAATGATA